GTTTTTCGGTGGAGTATTTTTTCGTTTCACAAAATTTTCATTTTCTAGCCATCCAATAAGGATTTACACAACAACGAGCTTTTCATAATTTTTCTTAATAATATTTTTGTTTGTTGTTTTTATATGTTTTCTTTATTTAATTATTTTATTTCAAAAATATGTGTATTTATATAAATCTTCACCTTTTTTTATTTTTTAGCGTAACGAAAAAAATCGTTTCCTTTATTTTTTATTTTTTTCTCAAATTAGCACTAAAGAAAATCAACATTTATTTTTCTCTCTACTTTGGTTGCCACTTTTTTACACTCTTCCCGAATTTATTTTTAATTTTTTTCTGCTATTATTTCTTGCATTAGAGGTTTCTATTTTCTTCTTTATAAAATTTAATTTAATTGATTTCCTTTATTTTTTATTGTTGTTTTATTTTTCTTTGTTTTCTATTTTTTTTATTTTTAATTAAAAAATCTATGTATTTTTTTCATTCTTTTGTTCCTGTGCAAGACTTCTACTATATTTATTTGACCGTTTTTTATGACCGAACATAACAGCGCACGACTCAAAACTGCATTCGACCAAATGTCTGACAAAGTTTTCATTTCTTCAATGAGCCGTCGTTATTTTGTCCCAAAACAATGTCTCTGAGAAATCCTTAATGGACTCTCTCTCTCTCTCTCTCTCTGCCTCACATTCTTTGCTTGATAATATCAACAACAATTCTCCCCCTTTTAAATGAAACAGTTACGCGCGCTCTCTCTCTCTTTCTCCGTGTTACTCTATCCCCCAACAAATGCTCCCATTGCTCAGACAGGCTATTTTGTTTGTGTGACTGGCAAAAACAAACATGCGCAAAACAATTGTTTTGGTTTTGCCAAACAACAGCAACAACACACACAGTGTAACGGTAGTGGGCAAGCAAGCATGCCTTAATGGGGGAAGCAAAACTAAAAAAACAATAACAACAACTAGACAACATTCATAGGAGTCTCTATGACATGAAAAAACACCCCCAATATAGCAGGCACACATACAGAGAGGGAGAGTGTGTACCTGAGAACTCTGTGCGTAGAGAGAGTTAATAAATGACCACAACTAAAGGCACTTTCTTATTGGGAGAGCATAATTCCTTTTGCTATTGGTCTTAGAGTGGCAAATGTGACATTTCTTCTTCTTAAATGAAAATGACAACTCCGTTAATGACAGCACAGCTATAATGTAAATAAATAACAATAGAAAACATATGGTTGGCCATTATAGCAACCAAGCAAAAGGGAAAATATATTTAATTAAATAAAATAACTTAATAAGTAAAAAAAAATTAAATTAATGGAAATCAATATAAAATGAAAATAAATAGAATAATATAAAATGTAATATAATATAAATTAATGAGTATAAATATGAAAAATAAAAAACAATAAATGAATATCATGGCAATAAATAATATTCTTATTGGAATATGATCAGGCATGATTTTTTTCTCATAGATAAGCCTAACAAAGATATCTTTTCCTAACAATAAGTTACAAAAAATGAAAATAATTTTGTATTAATTATTAATAATAAAAAATAAGAGAGATCCATAATAGAAATTATAAAGTTTTAATAAAAAAAGCTAATAAATTAATATCATGAGAAAAAAATTATTATAATCTCCTTTTCATATAAAAAATTAACAACCTATTTTTCCCCAAAAAAAAAAATTATTTTTTAGAAAGCAACAAAAATTTTTCAAATTAAAATTAACAAACTATTTTTCCCTAAAGAAAAATTGTTTTTTAGAAAGTAACAAAAATTTTTCAAATAAAAAATCCAAAATTTACCTTCAAACAGAACATTTTTTTTTCAAAAATTAAAAAAAATCCAATTTTTTTCAAAAAAAAAAAATATACTGAAATTAAAAAAAAAAAATCACATGTTTCAAAAAACCCCGACATCTTCTCCAAGAAACCTAAATTTTTCCAGAGTTTTTCCAAAAAAATCCTAATTTTTTCTTTGGGAAATATTCAAATTTTTTGGAAAAAATTTAAATTTAATAAAAATCACTCAAATTATGCTTTCAAAAATTTTAATTTTGTTCTTAAAAAAAATTAATTTCAATATCCATCCAAAAGTGTTTTACAAAAACTTCCCAATTTTTCTTCAAAAAATATTTCTACAAATAAAAAACATTTTTTTCAAAAATAAAAAAACAAAACAAATATTCATTTAAAAAAAAATCCCAATTCTTTCTTTATCAAAAATTTAAAAAAAATCCCAATTTTATTCAAACAGAATCAAACAGTTATTAAAAAAATCATTTTTTCTTACAATAATACTTTCAATATCCATCAAAAACTGCTTTCCAAAACCTCTCCAAGTTTTATTCAAAAAAATTTCAACAAGTTTTTGTCAAAAAAAATCAAAGGAAAAACACACAAAACTATAAAAACAATACGCACGTTTTTACTATACAAATATTTTTTGTCAAAAATCTTAAAATATTCCTATCTATTTCTGCAAAAAATTTAATTAAACAGCAATTTCTTCAAAAATTCCATAATTTTTTTTTCAAAAAGAATCCACAATTTTTGTCAAAAAAAAAATAAGAATTTAGAATTTTTATAAAAAATCCAAAATTTATGAACAAAATAACTTGAAAAAATTCACTATTTTTCTTAAAAAAACAAACTTTAATTTTTTTTTATTAAAAAAAATAATTTTTTCTTCAAAACAATATTAATTACTAACATCCATCGAAAAAGATGATAAATAATTCAGATATTTTTGTCAAAAAAAAATTTAATTACAAAACAAATATCTTCAAAAAAGTCGAAATTTTCCTTTCAGAAAAATCTAATATTTTTCTTAAATAAACACTTTTTTCTTTAACAGACTTTAAAACTTTAGCAACATTAAACCGCCACAATTATAGCTTTATGAATTCTTATAAATTTTCACAATTTTAATTTAAAATCATTACTATAAAATAATATTAAGAAATCCCTTCAAATGTCATTCCTTTGCTTTAAAAGAAAATAATAGCCTCTTTTAAATGCAGTCTACCATTTTGCATTGTACTACCATTCTGTCTTGCTCTCCCTCTCTAAGTCTCTTTTTTACTGTCTCTCTGTCTATTTGCCTTGCAATCACCATTGCAATACAAAACAATAACAACAACAAACCAACTACATCCAGGAATAAATCCTTTTAGTTAAACTGGGCATAAAAAACAAGCAAAAACACGCCTGCACTTTAATTTTGACGTCAACAGACGTATGACTGTCATACAAAATAAAAAAATACCCATACGCACCCACACACCATCATGCACTCTCTAGAGAGTTAACGGCAAACCAACACCCCAAAAGGCAGCAGCAACAACAACAACGACGACGGTAAATTCAATCTCACAAGAATGTAATGAAATCATGTTTTCTTTGAGATGGGCCTCGTTGTTTGTCGTTCGTTTGTTTGTGGCTGGTGTTGTTGTTGTTGTCGTCCAAAGCCATTGTTTACTTCAGTGCCTGTTAGGCACACACACACACACACCCACTGTGATTCATTTACTCACATATCGCCACACTCATATGATCTCTCATGCATAGCACAACACAACTCCCATCATAACGAGTTACTGTTGTTATGAGGGAGTCGTGTGTGGGTGGGTGAATGTTCGTCGGCTGTTCGTTGAAAAAGAGAATTAAAACAAAACAACAACGAGGTACCGTTGCATATTATTATTGTTATTGAGTCAAGTAAATGGGATTATTTGAGACTTAGTTAGATGTTTTCAACATCAGTTGTTGCATTTCCTGTTGATTTTTTTTTTTTTGTACTTTGCCTGGTCGCAAAACTCACACACATTGGCATCGTCATTGTGGTCGTGTGATGCTGTTGGCATTTCTATATACGTCATTCTGTTTGTAGACAAAAACAAAGTATGGGAATGCATTTGATTTTTTTGTGTCGCAGCTAAATAACAGGGAAAGTTGTTGTCCATAAATAAAATAGAAAAAAAAATGAAGAAACACACACAGTCAGACTCACAGAGTTATGTACGTAAGAGAAATGAGATGGTTCATATTGTCAGGGTTTTTATTGCATACTTTAAGTCAATATTAAATAAAATGGTGGAGAAATGTGACTGGGAGTTATATTAAAGTTGACAGGGATTATGAAGAAAATGGATGAATAGAAAATTATGATGTTTTATTAAAGAATATTTTCATTTTGAATTAAAAAATATTTAAAAAATTCTTAAAAAATAATTCATAAAAGAAAAATATTTTAAAAACTAAAAAAAAATATTTTTAAAAATCATGCAGAAAAATCAAAAAATATTTTCAAAAAAATTCTTTAAATGCATTTTTTCTTAAAAATCCACCCAAAACATAAACGATATTATTTAAATATTTAATATAATAATATTATTTTAAATAATAATGATTAATTTTGATAATAATGATTAATTTTGAAATGGTTTCATAGTTTTTTCCTATTTGAAATTTTTATTTATTAAATTTATAATTTTTTATATATTTTTTTAATTCTATGATTGTTTACACTAATTATTCCATTTATTAAATATACATATTTACATTTTTTATTAATTATTTAATTATTCTTTTTTTCAACCACTTGCCATTAAATTTTTTGAATTGTTAATTTATTTGAATGCACGCTTTTAAATTTATCCCCAAAAGAACCCCCATTACAATTAGCAACTCATTACTCCTCCTAGCATTGAGAGCGAGAGAAAAATACCCCCAAGAGATGGAGAGAGTAAGTGAACAATGACATAAAAACTGTCTTCATGGTTTTGTGTCATTAAAAGTTAGCTACGTATTGTTTTTGTTTTTCTAATATTTTTTTTTTGCTCATTAGATATCCCACATCTGTTTTGTTGTTTTTGCTGTTTTTCGATTTTTGTCACTTGCTGTTTTTGGAGACCATTTCCACTTTCATGCTTTCTTGTTGTTGATGTTGTTTTTTTTTTTTTAATGTTGTCTGCTGTTGCTGCTACTGTCATTGCTCTTTTTGGTTCCTCAACTTTACAAGGAATTATTTATTTGTCTTTCTTTGTCCTTCCTATACAAGTGGCAAAAGTAATCGTGGGGATTATATCGACGAAAGTTCAATACCATTATTGTAAACAAGAAATATTGCCCTAGCAAGGCAAAAAGCATGCTACTTTGTGTTCTAACGCCATATGCTACCATAAGCACTCTCCCTCTCTCTCACACTCTTCACTTACAACTATAACGGAGTCTTGTTGTGATATTTTTTGATGTTGATGGAAGTAAGAAAAATACACAAAAATATAAGTAAAAATATGTGTGTATGTATGTGTATTGATGCCTTTGCTTGAGCAGACTTTTTGACGCCAAACTGTTCTATATATTTTTGTAATATATTATTTAGTTCATTGGAAAACAAAAACAAGGCGCTCTGCTCTAGTTGATCTCCATCCCAGCAAAAAACAAGCATTCACCATCACTCTCTCTCTCTCACACACACACGAACAGGGAAATATGAGATGAGACGAGCCACCTAACGGCGAATTAATTCTTATAGGAATTCCAATGGACAAGAAAACAAAGGAGAGAGGAGAGCACAGACACGAACACACACATACATGTGTATAAACATGTGTATCTTCTAGCACACTTAATGGGGGAATATTTATTTAACTTGCCATTCAGACTTGACAAAAAGAAGAAAAAAAAAATAAAACGAATAAAGAAACCCAAATCAATTCCCTTTTTGACGGATGTGTGTGGAGAGGAGAGTTAACATGTTTACTGTTGATGTCAAAATATTTGTCTTGTTTTTATTATTTGTTGTTAAATATTCCCTTTTGATTTCACTTGTGATGTCATGTGGTGGCGGGCTGAATGTGTGTGTTCGTGCGTGTTTAGTAAACACATTGCAAATGATGATGAATTGTTTATTAATAAATGGTCAGCCCTAAAGTATGCTATAGTTTTTGTTGTAATTTACTTGAATTTGTGGCATTGTGGTTATGTGGTATTTTATTGGGACAAATAAATAAAAAATAATAATAGGAGGAGTTTAAAATATAAAGGAAATTATAAAAATTGAATCCGATTCGTTAATTAAAGAAATAAAAAATTAATTAAAATAATATAAAATGAAGAAAAAATCAAAACATAAAAAGAAGAAAATAAGAAAATATCCTCAGGTTTTCGGAAGTGTTTTTTTTCATAGAAAAAAATCGTCAGGTCTTCTGCGGTAGTTTTTTCCATAGGAAAAAATTTGTCAGGTCCCCATAGAAGAAAAATTGTCAGGTTCCCTGAGTCGTTTCTTCTATAAAAAGTATTTCTCAGGTCACCTGAGGTATTTTTTCCCCATAGAAAAAAATACTCATGTCCCCTAATTTGTTTTTTTTTTTAATTTTCAATAATATTTTTTGTATTTTTAATTAATAATTTTTTTTAAGGATAAATTTGTGCAATTTTTCATGCTTAATTCCCAAAATATAAATAATTCATTAATTTCTACAAAATTTCTCAAAATTCCCATCCAACATTAACAAAAAAAAACTCATTTTCCCCTAAATTGCCATTCAAATCTTACATTTGCCACACTTCAACATTTAAGTAACACCCTTTAACACAAAAACACAACCCTGTCTCGCCAAACGGGTGACCACAAATCAACAACTTCCCAAAACATATGTTCGCTCACAAAACCCCCATACTGTCCATACAACACACACACACTCTACATGAAATACCCTGTCTCGCCTTACGCAGATATTTTGCGGTCGGGCATTTTTATAGTCTCCCGAAAAAATCCATTAATTGTCTAAGAATAAGACAAACAATCCAATCAAAAACTATACACACCGCTTCAGCAAAGCATCAGTATGCTGAGATCTATGAAAGTTTGCATTTTTCATTGTTAACAGACGGTGAAAAAGTGTTTTTTCCATCATCCGAAATCAAATTTCGTTTTTCCCAACACTCTTCTGTTTTAACAAATCCACACACATCAACCAGCCAACGAACGAGCGAACCACCAACAACAGCGACAACGACGAAAGCCAGCAGCTACAGTAACAACACAGAGAGGTAAGAATGACACAAAATAAACGACTAATGGGAAAATGTCAAAACTGACACACACAATGCTGAAATGTTGAGAGTCGCCAAATGGTGCTTTTGACTGCGACGGTACGGCTGATGCTCTTTGTTGTTTTTTGGGGGCAAAACAAAAACCACGATGAGAGTTGTCAGTTAGAGTGAGTAGTGTTGCCAGATGTGTGGCGAAAAATGTTGACTAGACATTTGTTGTGAAACAAATGCGCGCGCCTCGTGTATTGTGTGCTTTTTGCAAAACTCTCTCTCGGCGAGAGAGAGAGAGAGATAGGGGAAATAAGTGAAATTTTATTGTGTTTACAAAAGAGAGAATGATGCCAATACAGCACATGTTGGGTATTTCCGATGAGACAGAGAGTAGGTGTTGAATAAAGGCGTATGTTTGTGAGAAGGGGTTTAATAAAAAACGAAAAAAAATCACCCAATACAAAAAATAATATAAAAATAAAAGATGAAGGAAAAATCAAAACATAGAAAATAAAAAAATTAGGTAAAATATCCTCAGGTTTCCGAAAGTGATTTTTCCATAAAAAAAATTCCTCAGGTCCCCTGAGGTGGTTTTTTTTCTATAGAAAAAAATTCCTCAGGTCCCCTGAGGTGTTTTTTTTCTATAGAAAAAATTCCTCAGGTCGCCTGATGTGGTTTTTTCTATAGAAAAAAATTCGTCAGGTCGCCTGAGGTGGTTTTTTCTATAGAAAAAAATTCGTCAGGTCGCCTGAGGTGGTTTTTTCTATAGAAAAAAATTCGTCAGGTCGCCTGATGTGGTTTTTTCTATAGAAAAAAATTCGTCAGGTCGCCTGAGGTGGTTTTTTCTATAGAAAAAAATTCGTCAGGTCGCCTGAGGTGGTTTTTTCTATAGAAAAAAATTCGTCAGGTCGCCTGAGGTGGTTTTTTCTATAGAAAAAAATTCGTCAGGTCGCCTGAGGTGGTTTTTTCTATAGAAAAAAATTCGTCAGGTCGCCTGAGGTGGTTTTTTTCGATTATATTTAACTATTATTTTTCCTTTTTTCCAGCTCCCTAATTCGTCACTTACCCACACACTTGCACACATTTCCTTCCTTCCACATATCTACTTCCTCCTGCAATGTCTTCAGCGCCCGCTGCCACAACAACATCAAATACAGAAATCCGTTATGTTACCGAAGTGCCTAGTAGTCTAAAACAGTTAGCCCGTCTGGTTGTACGTGGCTTTTATACCATTGAAGATGCTCTCATCATTGATATGCTGGTTCGTAATCCCTGCATGAAGGAGGATGACATTGCCGAACTCCTCCGCTTCGAAAAGAAACAAATGCGTGCCCGCATAACCACCCTGCGCAGTGACAAATTCATACAGATCCGTTTGAAAATGGAAACAGGACCGGACGGCAAGGCGCAAAAAGTCAATTACTATTTCATTAATTATAAGACCTTTGTAAATGTAGTCAAATATAAGTTGGATCTGATGCGCAAGCGCATGGAAACGGAGGAACGTGATGCCACAAGTCGAGCCAGTTTTAAGTGTACGAATTGTAATAAAACCTTTACGGATTTGGAGGCGGATCAGCTGTTCGATTTCAACACTCAGGAATTTCGTTGTACATATTGTGGTTGTACCGTGGAGGAGGATACATCGGCAATGCCGACCAAAGATTCGCGATTAATGTTGGCACGATTCAATGAACAGTTGCAGCCGTTGTATGATCTGCTGCGGGAGGTGGAGGGTATTAAGCTGGCGCCAGAAATCCTTGAACCTGAACCTGTGGATATCGATACGATAAGAGGGTGAGTAAATGAGGTTAATATTATAAAAATTGAATACTTACCTGGTATGTGTTTCCTTTCAGGATCAACAAACCCTCTGCGGTGCGGGGCGAAGGCCAACAATGGTCCGGTGAGGCAACCCGAAACCAAGGTTTCGCTGTGGAAGAGACACGTGTCGATATCAACATTGGTGGTGATGATGTACCCGATCAGGTTGCCGAACGTAAGGCACGACCCATCTGGATGACAGAAAGTACGGTCATAACCGAAGACAATACCGACAATACAGATGCCATACTCAATGAAGCAGCACAAAATTCACAACAACCTGGCCTTTCAGCATGGTCATCGTCGACGACGACCAGCTCAACCAGTGCCGGCACCACTACCGTTAACAATAATCGCAAAAAGGAACAGGAAGATATTATGGCGGTGCTGCTGCAATACGAAAAACAACCCGAACAAAAGAAAAACAACACCAAGGGACTGCGGTTCGGTACTTCCAATGCCAATTCCAGTGATTCGAGTGATGATGAAAATGATATAGAAAATACCAAAATTCGTGAGTTTGAAATTTGATTTTCTCATTCCGATATTTGATTTAAATTTTCCTTCTTTTTTGTTTACAGCCAATAACGATGATTATAATAACTTTATTAATTCCGAATCCGAAGAAGAAGAGGATGATGTTCCTTCGGTATTAGTTGCCGGCCGTCCCCATCCAATTGATCAAATCAATGATGTTCTAATTGCCCAAATGTCTCAACAGGAAAAAGAAAACTATATCCACATATATCAGCAACATTATAGTCATATATACGATTGAGGTACCCCTCCACCACCTTACATCCTGTTTTTACACCTCAATCTTCTGTTTTCTTATTCTTCAGTTTTTTAACACAACAACTATTACTATAATTATATTAATTATTATTATTTGTCATTTATATATTATTAGTTAATTCTATACCCACCAGCATATGATGTTTTATTTCTTTCTATTTTTATATATACCGAGAATAATGAATATGTGAACCATCCTCCTATCATCCATTCAAAACCTCAACCTTAAGCCTGATCACCTCCAGCAACCTCCACCTTCATCCAATGTTATTTTTACAATTTACTCATTTCTTTTCCGATCCTTCCTTCCTTCTTTTAATTTTCGTTAATGTTTATATAAATATATTTAAGATGGAAAGAGAGGAGAAAAGAAATGCTAAAAGAAAGAAAGAAGAAAAAAGAGAATATATTAAAAAAAAGAATCAACAAAAACAATAAAAAACTCGAAAATTAAAATTTAATTGTTTTAATTGCCAAAAACTGATTCAGATTCCATGAGGTAGTTTTTTCCCCATAGAAAAAATTCGTCAGGTCCCCTGAGGTGATTTTTTTCATAGAAAAAAAAAAATCGTCAAGTCCCCTGAGGCATTTTTTTCCATAGAAAAAATTGATCAGGTCCCCTGAGGCAACTTTTTTCATAGAAAAAAATTCGTCAGGTCCCCTGAGGCATTTTTTCGTATAGAAAAAAATTCGTCAGGTCCCCTGAGGCATTTTTTCGTATAGAAAAAAATTCGTCAGGTCCCCTGAGGCAACTTTTTTCATAGAAAAAAATTCGTCAGATCCCCTGAAGCAACTTTTTTCATAGGCAACTTTTTTCATAGAAAAAAATTCGTCAGGTCCCCTGAGGCAACTTTTTTTTCATAGAAAAAAATTCGTCAGATCCCCTGAGGCAACTTTTTTTCATAGATCCCCTGACAACTCTTTTCGTCAAGTCCCCTGAGGTATTTGTTTCCATAGAAAAATAAATCGTCAAGTCCCCTGAGCGGATTTTTTTCCATAGAAAAAAATTCGTCAGGTCCCCTGAGGTAATTTTTTCCATAGAAAAAAATCGTCGGGTCCCCTGAGGAAAATTGTTTCCTTAGAAAAACTTTTGTTAGGTCCCCTGAGGTATTTCTTTATATTCCCAATTCGTTATACTTTATTTGTCAGGATTATAATGTTGTTCATGCAGGTTTTCCTTTTTGGGTATCAACGTAGTTTTTACTTCTTGCGTAGTTTTTACTTCAACTTCTGTGAAAATTTCCAAAAAATAAAATTAATATTAAGTTATATGATTCTTAAATTAATGTGTCTTACCAATAATTCCCGGTGAATTTTCCTAAGAGTCGATATTATGTTTCCAGCATTATGATCAAAATTCAATATAAAAATATAAAATAACAATATAAAATTTTATGCAGCTGTTCAATGCTTTTGGCGGCAAAAACACCAATATGACAGCTTATTGCAATGACAAGTGATTATTGTACTCTCTCTCTCCCCCTCACTATGCATATGACACCATCATTGTCAGCTATCTTCAATTTCCCATCATTATGATGAATTGCCGTTTATTGGCATATTAAAATATTTATTTTACTTTTAACTGTTTCCAATTTATTAGATATTTATTTAATTTTATTAATTTGTTTATATTTTTTATTAATTTCCCCATATTTTGATTATAAATGACGACAAGAAATGCGTTCAATGCATTTTCCGGCAAAACAAAACTTGTCACATTCTTGCAAAGGCAAGTGATTGCACTCTCTCTCTCACACACACACACTATGCATACCTATGCATGTCGCCTTCTTTGTCATTTGTCTTTATTTCCATCATTATGATGAATTGCTATTTATTTGCCCATTAAACTATTTATTTTACTGTTAACTGTTTCAAATTCATTTAATATTCTTTTTATTATTGTTTTTTTTTAATTGCATCACTTTTTGATTTATAACAAACCGATATTAAGCGCACTGATTTAATTATGGGCCGCAGTTCAATGTTTTTGGCGTTTAAACCACAAATCTGTCATATTCTTGCAATGCCAGGTGATTGCACTGTCCCTCTCTCACTCACTCACTATGCATATGTAAGCATGTCACCTTCATTGCCATTTGTCTTTATTTCCCATCAAATATTTGCATATTAAAATAACTATTTTACTGTTAACTTTTAACAATTTATTATATTTAAATTGATTTTTATTTATTTAATTATTTTTTATCAATTTAATTACTTTTTATTACAATTCAAAGATATTCTATTCACTGAATCAATTATGGGCAGTCGTTCATGCTTTTGGCGGCAAACAAAATATCCTGACAATTTGTTACATTAACAGGTGATTGCTCTCTCTTTCTCTCCCATTCTCACAACAATGCATAATGTAAGCATGCCACCATGCAATTTCGTGATATTATTAATTTTCGTGATAATAAGACCTCTTTACTATATTAAATATACCCCCTCCTTACGATACGACTCTGTTTTGCCGATTTTTCTCTCGCCAATTAAACTTCAAATGTATCGCCTGCCCTCACAATAAAACAAAATGTTGCTCAACATGTCAACTGCCAAAAACAATGCCCATATGGCAACTCTCTCTCACAACTTGCGGCTGCCATCAATTTGCAAGTTAAAGTTCTTCTTTTTTTCTTAGTGTTTATTTATTCGTCAAACTAAATGAATTGGCCAGAAGAAAAATAAAAACGATGATGCGCTAGTCACCATAATACAAAACGAAAAATCCATGTGCTGTGTGGACGAAGTGTTTTAAATTAAAATAATCATTTTTTTTACAACGGAACGGGTTAATAAAAAAAGAAACAAAGTAAATCATCTGCTGGCATTATGAATTTCCTTTTATTATGAGCACAAGGCAAAGTGTGTGAGAGAGAGTGTGAGAAGAAGAGTGCAATTGTCGTATGAATGAATGTGACGTATGGTGTGAGCAAAAGAAGAACTATCCAAAAGTGAAGAGTACAATTTATAATAATAAAATAAAAAATGTGGTCACAACATTTAATTGGCAATTAAAAGTTAAATAAATATTAAATTAATTAAATAAACAAAATAATCATATAAACTAATAAAAGTTTATTTACCCTCTAAGCAAGCTTAATTTTGTTATGTATTGACCCATAACCAACAACAAACCACCTTTTAACAGCAATTGACAAAATAAATGTGCATATTATTGTTGTTGTTTCTGTTGCTCGAGTGTGTAAATGTTATATTTCATTGTGTCGCGCTATAATTTGTGTTGTTAGTATATAATTAGGCTGTGTATGTCAATATTTACACACCAGTCAAAACGAAAAAAAACCAACAACAGCAACAAAATCAAACACACGAAACACTTACATTTCCTTTTGTGATTTAAGTTAATTTCTATCATTAAACACAGGGGCCTTACTTCTTCTATACATGCCTAGCCTGCCTAATCAAGAGTTTATTTGAACAAATACAACAACAATACGTGTGGTAATAATAATAATTATTAACATTAAATTACACCGGCCGCAACTGCATCATCAAAATGAGACCAAAAGTTGACAAGGATTTACTGCCTATGAAGGCCCATTATTTTTTCTTTAATGCTGGTAAGTAACTAACCCGAAAAACAACAACAATACACACTCACACAAATTCCATAAGGGGAGTAATTGGGGGTTATAGCCAGTCCGTCAGTCATAAACATTTGACACATTTTATCTGGCATCATGTTCATTTTAGCCTCATTAATGCCCCGACATGTATATGTCTAGAGTTGTTTTAGTTTATAATAATTGTTATTATTTTATTTTTTATTATTATTACTTTGCTTGTTTGCTGTTCCTTTTTTATGTGCAAAGTCTAATCACTCATACTAGTTAATAGTAATTATACACTGAGAGAAGAAACAAATTGACAAATTGGTTAGCATGCCCAATGTAATTTGATGTGAGAGAGAGAGAGTTGTACTGAGCGCGTCTGTAATCAAATGGCAGTGAGAATAGTGACAGCTACAATAATGACAATTGCCGCCAAAAGCATCGATCAGCCAACCAGCTGTCTATCATTTAATCATCATTTCATTGTTGGTCGTCAATTTATAACACAAAATATTAAATAAACGAGGAAATTAATGAAAATGAAAAAGTAAATAGGCAATAAATCAATTTGAAATGGATAGATATTATTGGACAAGTTTTTTTTCACATTTTTTTTTGGATAAAATTACAACAAAATGTCATATAAAAAGTTATGCAAATTAAAAGGCAGACATTGTGTGTAATGTGTGTGAGAGGGAGAGTGTGAGAAACATAATTCATTGTAGCTGTCAAATAATGACAATAGCTGCCAAAAGTCATTGATTGGCTTTTATTAAATCACATCTAACAAAAGGATAAGAGTTAAACAAGGAGATAATTCTATTAAATGGAAAAAATTAATAAAAAATGCCGTGGAAATCATTAGTACTATTTTGTGTCCTTATTTTACCAAATGAAGTGTGTGCAAAATAAAAGAATGATATGTTTAACAAGCGTAATAAATATATGACAGTACAAAATTGCATTGAGTGTGACATTTTAATCATGACTATTGTCGCCAAAAAACAAACGTAACTGTCAATCATTTAATCATGACATCGAATATCGTCACTTATAACACAAAAATTGAAAAATATTAAAGAAATTAATAAAAATATAAATAAATAAGATAAAAGGCAAGAAAGCATTTTAAAGAGCAATGCAAAGGAAATGCAATTGATCAAGATTATGCACAACATTTTATGAAGTATACATGCCAGTGTCAATGGAATTTATTGGCATATGCAAATGAGAAAGAAGAGAAAGAGAGAGTGAGCGTGACAATATGTTGTGAGAATGTTGACAGTCTATCAATGACTTTTCCCGCCAAAAGCATCGATCATCTGCCAATGTTTTAATCAAATCATTGATTGTCGTCATTTTATAACAAAAAAAGAAAACCAAATAAATGATGAAATTAATAGAAAATAAAAAATAGGCAACAACATAAAAAATTAAATTGACAAACACAAATGCAATGGAAAAGCACATAAAAATTCCCATTTCAAAAAAAATAAATAAAATTCCGCCCAAAAGATCAGCTGATGATCATTTAATCAATTTGCTGATAAGGAAAAATGTCATGAATTGGAAATTATCAACGGCAAACATTTTCAATGGATATAAAATTATTAATAACTTGTTCTAAAAAATGTTGGAAACTTAGGTATGCTTTAGTAGAAATGTTATCGGATTTTGATAATAATAATATTCCTTATATTCTTCAAGTTTTCGTATAATAAATTGTGAGGATCGTAAGGAAATCTCTGATATGCCTAATACTTAATTACATCACCCCTGAAAATGTAATTCGATAATTGCGAAATATCGAGAAATCTTTACAACAAATATAAAATTAACAAAAGACCTCAAGCTCAACTAATCATATTATTTGAAGACCGGAGCACTTAAAATATATACCAAAAATCGATCAAGAGAAATCGAAATACCAAAACACACACACTCAAGAACTTGAACATACCGAAAATGAGACGTTACGGTTGAAAATGATATATAAAATCCTCAAAATATTGAAAAGTAAACCTACTATTTTAACTGAGTATATCTATATATCTGTTATATGGGGACTATACCAATAGGGGTAGCGATATTTTGGCACAGAGGTTTGATACCCAATGAGAATTTAGAAACAGAAATTACAGCCAATTTGCTTTAAAAATGTGACAAAGATCCCAAAAAGTGCCCAAATTCTCAAATATTATATATGTGTATTGAATTTCGAATTCCATTTACAACAACTCGCAATATTCATCGTAATACCCATAAATATTCTGGATCAGAGTAAAAAAATGTATATTGACCACCTTCATAGTATGTACAAAGGAATCAAATTTCCATGCCAAATTATTTTCAAAAACTTCAATTCTGTTTCATCAGGCCTAAAATGTGGATTTAATGTGGTTAAATTTGCAAATAATATCCACTCAAGTGCTTGTCTGGGGTAAAATGAAACCACCCTTCATTGCAAAAAAAGAAAAAAAAAACAAACAAATCAGAAAACAAAATCCCATCTATGTTTGCAAACTTTTTGCATTTGCTATTCAAAGAATTTATTTTGCTACGTGATTAATACAATTATATTGCATTATACGCATTGTAGAAAATCTATATTTATTTATCTTTCCTTCACTACCACCCTCCACCCCTAGCATTTGTCCTTATGCATGGTTTTAAATTACTTGATATTTATTTTTTCAGAAAAAAATATTAATTTGCTTTTCATTGTTTGATATTGTTGTTTTATCAGCAAAAATTATTGCTTAGCTTCTTCGTCTAAACTCCCATATAGCCGATGGACATGTGAGCTGGGTTATTTTTTTTCTTTCTTTATGTCCAATATCATTACTATGTAGCTTATCTTGATGAGAATTTAAACAATAAAACTGGAGATTCACCCGCTCCTACTCTTCCTCCTTTAGAGAATACACAACAGCAACAACAAAAAGTCAGTAATGCACTAGTAAATATGCTAATAAAAGACAGTTTTTTTTTTTGTTTCTAGTGTGTGTATATGCAGATAAAAAAAATTAACTAAGTGTGGGCGGAAAATTGTTTCTCTTTTTTTTGAGGGGTTTTTGATAAAGGCATGAGTTATGGCAAATAACGTCCAACAGCAGCCCAGCCATCAGCAACAGACATTAATTAAATATGCCCAAAAACACAGCAAACAATTAGAGGATATTCAGCAATGAAAAAAAATATTAAATAAATTTATAAACATAAATCTAGCATACCTAGATTTTTTCTGAAATGTCAAGAAGTTTTTTTTTTTTTTTTGTTTGCCTCAGAAAAAATATCTCAAAAACGTGAAATGATAAGCCACCTGAGATAAGAGATAAGCAAAAAAATAAGACTAAGAATTTATAAATGAAATTGTAAATTTGGAAATAGGTTACTAAAAATTTTCGAATGTCGTCACATAGGTATAACACAAAAATGGGATATTAAAAGAAGCAAATGCAATGCAAGAACATGTTTGTGCATAATTTCTTTTAATTATAAAAGCCATTGTCAATAGAATTGATTGGCATATGCAAACATATGAGAGAGAAAGAGAGAGTAGTGGAAATATGTAGTGAGCATGTTGACAGTCTATCAAATACTTTTGCCGCCAAAAGCATCGATCATCTGCCAATGATTAAATCATTTCACCATTATAACACCAAAAATTGGAAAAAATAAGAAAATTAATAACAAAAATTAAATACGAAAATAAACAAGAAAGCAAATAAAATAAAGAGAATGCAATCCAAAAGGAAATGAAATTGATCAAGATTGTGCACAAAATGTTATTAAATATAAAAGCCAGTGTCAAAAAAAAAAATTAATTAGCATATGCAAACATATGAGGGAGATAGTGATATAAGTGAGAATATTGACAGTCTATCAATGACTTTTGCCGCCAAAAGCATTGATCATCTGCCAATGATTTAATCAAATCATTGATTGTCGTCACTTTACAACAAAACATTTTTTAATGGATTACAATTTCATTTATGATTTTTTTAGTTTTATTAATCGTATTTGTAATATTTTGTATTTTTTATAAAAAAATTCAATACTCCACAAGTTAAAAGTTCAATGTCTTGTCATTTTTTTTAAATACCACTCAATTTAATTTATCCTCAATGGTGGCTAATTTTTCATTCATTGGCTCACTCACTCAATCAATTAAAAATTACAATTCCCCCCATTATTGGTCAATTTCATTTCACACATAATAACTGCTTGATGGCTTGCTTGCTCGCCGGCTGGATTGTTGGAATGTCAATCTAGATTAAAGAAATATAATTGAAATCGCCCGGTCTAATTGAATTTGTAACCATGTTTTTTCAATAATTCTTTTTTTATGATATCAAATTGATTGGAGATGATAAGATTGCTGTGGCAACAATTAAACAAAAAAAAAAATCATTTAAGACCTTGGCCAACTGGTACAATGCAAATAAATCAATTTTGATTTTCAAAATTATTATGTAGGGGTAATAAAACAAAAATTAAATTATGTATATTTTTGGGAATTGATTTTTCGAACATTTCTATTATAATTGATGGCAATAATATGTCGATATGAAGAAATGAAGATTTTTTTTAATTTCGAAAAAAATATTTTTTGAAAATTTTCCTTTAAATCCTTATATTTAAAAATGAAATTTATTTAATTTCATATAAATAATTGAAATATAAGGAGAATCCTTCAAAATTAGCTTTTTCAGAAACTCTACAAAATTGGAGAGTTTTCAAAATCACTTGCATTTTCGATTTTTAATATTTTCAAGTAAATTCACATATTTGATTTTGAAAAAAAAAAATCCAAATAAAACTAAAAAAATTACCCTTATTCCACCGCTTTACCGAGAAAGAAGTTTTGTGTGAGACTCTACATACATTAAATTTTGCTGAAATCGATTCAAATTATATTGAGAAGGCCAAATATAGTTCAAAAACATTGGAAAACAACGTTTTTGGGAAGTTTCCAAATTTGGAGACTTTTTTAAATTACATGAAATTTAAAATTTTCACTAACCAAATGATTTCAAATCACATATTTAACATGATATGAAGAAAATGTTTAAATATGAATAATAAATATACCCTCTGGGCCCCAAAATGTTTCATAGAGGTACATAGCCACTATTAGGTAACTTTTCGATCAATTTTTCGTTAGTGCCAAATTCTCCCACAATTCTCCAGTATAGAGAGATGATGTTAATGGAAGAAATATTCTACACTAAATTTCAACATAGGTCACCGAACAAAATTAATCTCTAGCTATAATATTTAACCAAGAAAAACTTAAAATCGTATTGGATATTTAATAATGGATATTCAATCATGTTGATTGAATCATTTTGCTAGCCTATTTGTGTAAGGGCCAAATTTTCGCTCATTTCTTGACTTTAGAGGGATGATGCCAATGAAAGAAATATTCTACACTAAATTTCATCATAGTTCACCGAAGAATAGAAATCTGTAGGTTCAATATTTCACCAAGAAAAACTCGAAAACAAATTGGGTATTCAAAAAGAATGATTGGTTAATTTTGATAACCTATATGTGTATGAGCAAAATTCTCCAATAGAACTTCAATTTAGGGGGATAATATCAATGGAGGAAATATTCTACACTAAATTCCACTATAGGTCACCGAACAAAAGAAATCTGTAGATTCAATATTTCACCAAGAAAAACTCGAAAACACATTGGCTACACAATGGAAAACCAGATATTGTGTAATTTTTCGAGCAATTTTGAGTAAGGATCGAATTCTCCCACATCTTTCCACTTTAGAGGGATGATGTTAACGGAAGATAAATTCTACACTAAATTTTACCATAGATCACCGAACAATAGAAATCTGTAGCTATAATAAAAAAAGTTTTTGAGTTAGGGCCAAATTCTCCCACATCTCTTCACTTTAGCGGAATGATATTAATGGAAGATAAATTCAACACCAAATTTCACTATAGGTCACCGAACAAAAGAATTCTGTAGGTTCAATATTTCACCAAGAAAAACTTAAAAACCAATTGGGTACATAAAGGAAAAACTTTATTGGGTAATTTTTCGACCAATTTTCAAAAAAAGTCAAATGTTCGTACAATTCTCCACATTATGGGTTTGATGTCAACGGGGGAAATATTCTACACCAAATTTCACTATAGGTCACCGAACCAAAGAAATCGGTAACTATAATTTGTAATTTGTAATTGTAAAAATAAATTGGGTATTTTTTTCGATCATTTTTTTATTACCAAAATAATTCGATTAATTATTTCTCTCTCTCCCTCTCTTTCCGTTTCAGGCACGGCACCCGTTGTACCCTTTATGCCCACTCTCGCCAAACAGTTGGGCTATTCCAATGTCGTTGTGGGGACCATGTATGCTATACTGCCGGTGATTGGTATGCTGGCCAAACCATTATGTGGCTTTATTGCAGATCGGTAAGTCGAAACAAAATACGATTCAAAAAAGAAAAAATCCCACTAATATTCAAAATTTTTATTCTAGGTATCAACGTCATCGCAGCCTTTTTATTGCCGCTGAAATTCTTACCGCAGTTGCCTTCTTTGCCATAATGTTTACACCCGCCATTCCACAACAGCCACCCTCTGTGGCATTTCACTGTCATGCCGGTGAGGCAAATTTCCATTTTTGTACCGAAGATCAGTGTACACTGAACGAATTAGAACGTGACTATGAAGATAAGGCATTGGCATGTAAGCTCAATTGTCCCACAGAGGCATATATGTGGGATATCATATGTCAAAATTGGAATGTCACATCATCGGGGCTGTGTCCACCGGCAAATAATACCGCCAACATTGATATAAGTGCCACATTCACAAATTTGCTGGTGGAACGCAATGAAACCACCAATGAGGGGTGTGCGTTCTTCAGTGTACCGCACATAAAGGCTGAGGTGAATGGCCATAATGCCACCATGTATTGTCCCAAGGATAAGCCATATTTTAAGGCGCAGTGTTCAATGCAATGCAACGATACCTACTTGGATAGTAAAATTTCCAATGATCCGGTGATTAGCACCAAAGCTGCCATGGGTCTGTATCAATTCTGGTGGTTTTTCGGAATGTTGATCATTTCGTGGATTGGTATGGCCGCTGTGGTTAGTATTGGTGATGCCATTTGTTTTGGTATTTTGGGTGAGCGGGCCCATTTGTATGGCAAACAGCGGCTATATGGTTCGGTGGGTTGGGGTATATTCTCCATTTTGGCTGGGGTCCTCGTTGATAAAATGTCCAATGGTGTGGAAAAGGATTACACCATTGTATTTTGGATGACGGCGGTGTTGATTGGCTTGGATGTTGTGGCCTCAATGAAATTAAAGGTAAGGTTTTTCAAATACTCCTTAAAGATTTTGTGCTAAAACCTCTCTTTTATCTCTTCTAGCACACCCAAACCCACTTATCCCCCAATATCCTCAAAGATGTGGGTCAAATGTTCCTCTCCGTACGCTGTTTGGTCTTCTTTGTGTGGTGTATATTCATAGGCCTGGGCACGGCGCTGATATGGAACTTTTTATTTGTTCACTTGGAGTCGTTGGGTGGTTGTGATGCCACCTATATGAAGACTCTCCAAGGATTTGTCATGTCCATTCAATGTTTTTGTGGCGAATTGCCATTTTTCTTTTTCTCCGGTTGGATTTTGAAGAAAATTGGTCATGTTAATGCCATGAGTATGGTCCTGTTTGGATTTGGTGTACGTTTTATTTTGTATTCCATGTTACAAGATCCATGGTATGTCCTGCCCATTGAGTTGTTGAATGGTGTTACCTTTGGTTTGTTTTATGCCACAATGGCTTCGTATGCCAGTATTGTTGCACCACCCGGTACTGAGACCACAATGCAGGTGAGAGTAAAATAAGCTTTGTTTTTAAATCAAAAATAATGTAGAATAATTTTTTAAGGTTATGTATGGAAACAAGTGAGGTTAGGTGGGGACAAATTTAGGATGTATCTGCTAAAAAGTAAACGTGAAAATTTTGAATGTTTTTTGTGTTTGCAGAGTCTATAAGCGCGGGTTTTTTAGAGAATTTTTTTTTTCATAAACAATTTTGAGGTTATGTCCAAAATTGTTTTTTTTCTGGTTTATTTTGAACAAAAATCACATTGATTTCACAACCTATTACTTCCTTAAAAAAATTACCTTAAAATAAAAAAAAAAATCATAATAAACAAGTGAGGTTATGTTCAAATATTTTGAGGTTAAAATCGAAAATTCGGAAAAAACATCGTTTTTGTCATAGAAATTTAAATAGAAGGTGGAGTATACTATAATGCGACTGTACAATTCCTTCCTAAAACAAAAAACCTTAAAATAAAACATTAAAATCATAACGAACAAGTAAGGTTATGTTAAAATATTTGAGGTTATTTTAGAAAATTCGGAAAAAATCATAGATTTTGTCATGGAAATTACAATCGAAAGTTGGGTGAACTGTAATCCGACTATACAATAATCTAAAATAGCTTCTTTAGATGCAGTAAGTAAAGTTTTACGTAGAAAATATTTATTCCGACCATTTCCCAATAAAGGAAGGAATTTATTGTAAAATTTTTGATTACTTTTGAGTTAGAGGCAATTTCTCCCACGTTTATTGACTTTAGAGGTTTGGTGTTAATGAAATAAATGTTCTACACCAAATTTCACCCTAGGTCACTGAACAACAAAAATCTGCAGCTATAATATTTAACAATAATAAAGATAGAAATAAATTGGGCATATATAAAGGAAGGAATTTATTGTTAAAAGTTCGATTACTTTTGGGTTGGAGCCAATTTCTCCCACAATACTTCTCTTTAGGGGTTTGGTAGTAATGAAAGAAATGTTCTACCCAAAATTTCACCCTAGGTCACTGAACAACAAAAATCTGTTGCTATAATATTTAATCATAAAAAAATTAAAAACAAATTAAAAAAATTATCTAATTTTCCCCTTTATTTTACAGGGCTTGGTTGGTGCCATTTTCGAAGGTGTTGGTGTGTCGGTGGGCAGCTTGATTGCCGGCTATCTTTTTGATTCGATTGGCGGTGGTCATACTTTTGAAATCTTTGGTGTTGCGGCATTTATTGCCTTCATTGTACACGTGTGTTTGCAAATGTATTTGCAACGTCATCATTCGAGTAGTGATACGGAAAATGGTAAGCAAAGTGTTGCTGTTGTTGTGGATACGACGACAGCTCCAACAACGTCGGAAATTGCTAATCTTAATGATGATGATGAAGATATAGAATCGAGTATTAAAACAACTACAACTAGTGCCAATAATGAGGAGCACCACAAAAACAATTCATAACAGTGTCTTCTATTGTTGTGGGAAACAAATGTTTGAATGATTTGTTTTTCTACTTTTTTATTTTTTTAATGATGAAAGACGACGAATTTAGAGATTTTTTTAAAGAGATTTTTAAAAATACTATTTTTTATTATTTTTTTATTGTGGTTTGTTTTTTTAATGTAAATATTGTTGATAAATACTTTAAAAACCCCTTTGGTATAAAATTTTGTTTTATTGATATATCAAATAAAACAAAATTTTATACCAAAGGGTTTTTAAAAGACAAAAACGATATTAGTCAAATGAGTTTTGAGAGATAAGTTGAACAAAAAAAATTGTTTTTCAAAGAAAAAACTTTGTCACCGAACAATAGAAATCTGTAGCTATAATATTTAACAATGAAAAAGTTAATAACAAATTGGGTATATAACCTCAACAATTTTTTGAGTCACTTTTCGACAAATTTTGTGTAGGAAGCAATTTCTCCTATATTTATTCACGTTAGAGCGATTGTATCAATGGAAGATATGTTGCACATTAAATTTCACCCTAGGTCTCTGAACAAAAGGAATTTGTAGCTATAATATTTAATAATAAAAAAGGTAGTAACAAATTTGGCATATATAGAGGAAGGAATATATTGTGAAATTTTTGAATACTTTTGGGTTAGAGGCAATTTCTACCCCGTTCATCCACTTTAGAGGTTTGGTAGTAATGGAAGATAAATTCTACACCAAATTTCAACACTACAATATTTAACAATACAATATTTAACAATAAAAACGTTAATAACAAGTTGGGTATATAACCTAAAAAAAATTGTACGTCACTTTTCGTAGGAACCCATTTCTCCCATATTCATTCACTTTAGTGGGATGGTATCAATGGATGATATGTTCTACATTAAATTTTACCCTAGGTCACTGAACAAAAGGAATTTGTAGCTATAATATTTAACTATAAAAAAGGTAGTAACAAATTTGGTATATATAGAGGAAGGAATATATTGTGAAATTTTTGACTACTTTGTGTTTTTGAATACCTCATACAGCTTGAGGGTGGATGATAAACAGGGTCATCTACTCCCAATTGTATTTTCTTTATAACCTTACATATTTTTCTATTTACAAAAATATAAATATTTTTCTAATTAAATTTGTAACTAACCATTTGATTTATTTATTTTTTTCTAGGCACTGTTAAATATTTAGCGCCTACAGATGCCATGCATATGCTTAACGATCAAGAATTTCTAACGTAGATGTGGGCTGTATAATCTGTTTTCTAGTGTGTTTTATTTTCTATTTTCTTTTCGAGAATGTGTATGTCTGAGTGTATGATTTTTTTATAAGTAGTTTTGTTTTAATTTTTTTGTAATGGCTGGTAAATATTCTTTTTAAATTTTTAATATTTTTAATTTTTTAAGCAAAAAAAGATAATAATGGAGGATAATTTATTAGATTGCAATGGCTAAATATTTGGAAATCAATTATTATTTGTTTAATTCAACAAGACCACTCAAGACCCCTCATGATTGTAATAAGGAGAAAGAATTAAATTGTAAAAAATGTGTTGTTTAGATTTAGGTTCAAATTCTCCCGCTTTTCTGCACTTTAGAGGTAGGGTACCAATGGAAGAAATATTCTTCATAAGTTTTCATTATATGACCCCGAACAAACAAAATCTCTACATACAATATTTTCCATCGAAAAAAGCAATAACAAATTGAGTATGTGAAGGATAGGTAAACTTTTCGTTTATTTTTGAGTTTCAATGCCAAAAATATTCCTCATAAATTTTCATCATAGGACGCCGAACAAATAATCTCTAGATATAATATTTCCCGTCGAAAAAGTTAATAACAAATTAGTATGTGTTGATAAGGGTGACCTTTTCGTTTATTTTTGAGTAGGAACCGATTTCTACCCCTTATGCTCACTTTAGAGGAATGGTTCCAATGGTTGATATATTCTGCACTAAATTTTAACATAGGTCACTGAACAACTGAAATCGATGGGTATAATATTTAACAATGAAAAAATAAAAGCAAATTGAGTATATGAAAAAAGTAATTTATAGGTTAAATTTTCGTTCATTTTTGAGAAGAAGCTAATTTCTACCCCATTTCCTCAATTTAGAGGGATGGTTCCAATGGAGGATAAATTCTACACTAAATTTTACCATAGGTCACCGAACAAAAAAATGTGTAGCTATAATAATTATTATTTAAAAAATTAATAACAAATTGGTTATATATAAAGGATCGATGTTTTTGGCAAATTTTGGGTAGGAGTCGATTTCTCCCATATTAATTCAATTTTGAGGGATGGTGCCAATGGAGGAATAATTCTACACTAAATTTCACTATAGGTCACAGAAAAAAAGTAATATGTAACTATAATATTTAAACAAGAAAAAATTAAATTATATTGGAAATTTAATGGAAAAAATTATTGGATCAACTTTTCGTTTATTTTTGAGAAGGAGTAAATTTCTAACACATTTCCTCACTTTAGAGGGATGATTCCAATGGAAAATAAATTCTACACTAAATTTTAACATAGGTCTCCGAATACAAGAAATTGGTAGCTATAATATTTAACAATGAAAAAAAAGAATAATATATTGGGTATTTAATTGTTTTAATTAATATCCCCTGTTTTCTTATATTTAGCCATTGTATTAAAGAATTTTTTTAATGCCAAGCCAATTTTATTAGATAACAACATTTTAAATAACCTCCTCTTATTTTTTTATAAAAAACATAGAATTTAATATTGCATAGTTTTATACATATTTTTATAAGTAGATATTTTTTTAGAAATTCATCTAATTTATTAATTAAAATTTTAAAAATTGTAACAAGTTGCATGCTTAGTTTTTTTATTATTAAAGCAACAACTTTTTTATAAACTTAAAAGAAAGATAAAAAAACAATTTATAAAAAAACAGAAAGTCATTCCTAAACTTTTAATAAAAAATGCCTATGTATTTTTACAGCATGCTCCAAAAACTTGTCATTATAAAAATTAAAAATTTAAAAATAAAAATTTTAAAATTTAAATTTTTTATAATAATTAAACTATAGTATATTATATAAAAAAATATTTTTATTTATAACTTTTTTTGTAATTGTTAAAACCAAAAGTTCTAGTTTCCATTTTCAAATGAAAACAATTTATAAATTTTATTTTTAATTATTTATATATATAAAAAACTGATAACAAATAAAGTCTTCATAACTTAATAAGGGTACTACTATATATTTAACAAAATTGAATTTATTGTTTTATTAAAAAAAAATATATAAAGATTTGTGGGGTTTTATTTTCCTTGTAGAAAAATAAACACCAATGGAATTATTTTTTTTTTATAAAATAATTTAAAATTTTTCTAAGGCACAACAAATTTTAGTATAAAAAAATATATATAACAATATATTGTTTTTAGTTCAAAAAACTATTATATTTAATTTCAAATGTAACCCATCTTTCTTCTCTTCTATTTTTTATATAATTTTTATTTCTATTTAAATTTGTTCTCATTTTTAATTCTATTTTTCAAATTTACTTAACAAAAAATAAATCAATAAATACTATTGTGGCTGTTGCTGTTGTTGTTTACCAATTAATGATTCTTCCTGCTGTTGTTTTTGTAACTTCTTTTGTAGTTCCTTTTCTTTGCACGTCTGTATGTTTAGAGCTCTTTTCTGTTAAAATTAAAAACGAAATAAATTTATTAAATTATATTTTTAAGTAATTGTTAATGTTTAATTTTTTAGTTTATAAGCATGTGTGTTTTTTTCTAATAATTTTTAATAAAACAAACATACCTTTAGTACTTTGGTCCTCTGATAAATATTTTGCATTTGTTTTTTAATTTTCAATAATTTTTCACGATACAACTTGACATCAGTCATCTAAAAAAATATATAAAATATGTTTAAATATTTATTAATTATTACACATCGATCTCCCTCCAATAACCTAATTTTAGGTCAATTTTTTAGGTTAATTTCGAAATTTGGCAATTTCTCCTAGAATTTACCGCTTTAGGCTGGTGTTGTCAATGGAAGAAGTGTTCCGCACTAAATTTCACTAGGGGTTACCAAACAAACTAAATGTGAATATATAATAGATACCCCTAAAATATCGATCTCCAAATTGGTTAACACATTTTTGAGGTTATTTTCGAAAAATGTCCATTTTAGTCCCGAATACCTCAATTTAGCAGGTTGACATCATAGCAATAAATGTTCTACACTAAATTCCACTGTAGGTCACTGAATAAACTAAAGCTGTATATATAATGGATACCGCTTAAATATAGGCCTCCAAATTGGTTAACATTTTTTGACACATTTTTGAGGTCATTTTCCAAAAATTGTCAATTTCGCCCCTTATACCTCAATTTAGCAGGTTGATGTCAATGGAAGACATGTTGCACACAGAATTTCAGTATAGGTCACAAAAGAAACCAAAGCAGTATTCTTAATAGATAACTCACAAAATTCGATATCCAAGTTACTTAACATATTTTTGAGGTTATTTTCTAAAAATTTTTAATCTCGCCCCGTATACTTCACTTGAACAGGTTGATGTCAATGGAAGACATATTCCACACAGAATTTCAGTATAGGTCATCGAAGAAACCAAAGATGTATTTAAAATAGATACGCCTTAAAAATCGATCTACAAATTGGTCAAAATATTTTTTTATTTTTTGAATTTTAACAAAATATCCTTAAATACTTCACTATAGAAGAATGTCGTAAATGAAAGAAATATTTCGCATAAAATTCCAATATAGGTCACCCAACAAGTCTAAGCTCTATGTGTACTAGATACCACATGGAATTCCGACTATAAAAAGGGGTAGCAATATTTTTTAGGTTATATTTCAAAATTAGACAAACTCTCCAAAGAAACGTCACTTTAGGGATGTGTCACCAAAGGGAGAAGGATTATAAATTAAATTTCACTACTGGTCACCGAACAAAAGAAAGCTCTATATAAACTATTTACCACTAAAATATAGGATTTCAAATTGGTAAATAGATTTTCTAAGGTTATATATGAACATTTTCCCAATTGGACAAATTTTTACAACAATACTTCAATTTAGAGGGATGACGTCAATGAGAGAATTATTCTACATCAAAATTCATGACAGGTCACCGAACAAAGGAAAGCTATATAAATACTATTTACCAGTAAAATATGGGATTTCAAATTGATTAATAGATTTTTTAGATTATATTTCAACATTTTCCAAATTGGACAATTTTTTACAACAATACTTCACATTAGAGGGATGATGTCAATGAGAGAATTATTCAATATCAAAATTCATGATAGGTCACCGAACCAAGGAAAGCTCTATATATGCTATTTACCCCTAAAACATGGGTTTTCAAATTAGTTAATAGATTTTTTAGGTTATATTTGAACATTTTCCCAATAGGGCTATTTTTTACAACAATACTTCGCTTTAGAGGTATGACGTCAATGAGAGAATTAATCTACATCAAATTCCATTATAGGTCACCGAACAAATCGTATCTCTAAACATAATATTTATGCCTTAAATATAAATATTTTAAATATAATACATTTTTGGTATAATTTCCTATATAATTTTTTTAATTCATCAATTTCTCCTCATAATACTGGACATTCCCTATTAAATCAATTTGCTTTATTTTATAGTATTATCCTAAGGTACATATATTTTTGTTTCCCTTACCATATCTTGCAATTTGGCAACTTCACCATTGTCCAGCTTGAATTTTTCCGCTGACAAATCTATATAGATTTTGTTTTGTTTGCCTCTGAAAATAGACAACAATAAGATTTTGAAATAACATTTGAAATAATAATTTAAATTTCCCACTTACATTAACTCCTTCAGCTGTGTTCTTGCCTTGGCTAGAGGTGGGGAATATGCTTGCATAAAACCCGCTGTTAATTGTGCAGCAGCTAAGGAGGTTGTTGGTTCATCTGTAGTAGTAGGTTGGCTCTCATCATTGTTTTTAATAGAATTATTGTTGTTATTTAATAAATTCAAATTATTATTTGTTAATGAGGTTATTTCATTCCCACTACTTGTAGTCTCCGTTTCATCCAACTCCAATGTAGTAGGTCTTAATGCTTCGAATGTATCTGCTGAACTGAATGCAGATAAGTCATCGATAATGCTAGAGTGATGGCGTATTGTGGTTCGTTGAAGCGTGTTGAAAAAACAAATTAGAACAACAATTAGTTAATAAAAATGTAGTGAACAACAATACCTGTCGTCAAATTTAGATCGTATCATTGGCATTGGCAAACATTGTTTCACTTATCTTATAATTATTATACAAGCCAATAAAAATGTATATAATTGTCAAGTTTTTTTTCAGAAGAGGCCTTTTTTTAAAGAGTTTTGTCACAGATTAGTTTAACGTGAGTGGCAACAAAAGGGAGGTGTGAAGGTTTGGGAATAATTGTCTAATAAAAATATACCTATACAGTCGATATAACTTTTAAAATCATTCAAGGGACCGGCGAAGTTTGTAGCTATAATTCGTTGGCTTTATAGCAACATCAAATAAAGGGCAGTACTTCCTTCGAAAATTTTGGATTCAGAAGAGTGGGTTCTATTATATATGCAAGGTTCTAGTATATGCAAGGATAATTGTACCTTTTGGGATATGTGGCCACATTCTACGAAATGTCTTAATCCACTTAATTGTTTACATTCTTGCCTGGTCCTCCTTAACAATTCAGCATGATATTCTATTATAATATAGGTATGTGCGACTGACCTACATATATTTTTCTTCTTCTGTTAATCCACTTAACTATGACCTACATATTTCCAAATATCCCAAGTATCAGTCGAGTTTATATTAGGTATATATTTTTCACTTTTCTATCCTTTGGAATAATACCCTTCTGCCCATCATTGTATTATATTTATTGTCCTATTATTTGTTTGTATACAAAAATTAAAAAAATAAATTATCGACCTGTTGCTCTAGCAAACCTTTTGAAACCACTCACCTATTAAAGTTATTGCTCTTCAACATCGTTACTCCTCTATATACTGCAGACACTGTTTTATGTTTTCAATAATAATTTGTTTATTATAAAATAATTGTGTAAATAAATAAAATTTCCATTTAATTAAATAATATAAACAAACCACGTACGGAAATGTATTAGAGTTCAAAATGACTGATGGTTCTGTGATATGAACCAAACGGAACTATGCTCAAATGTCATCATGAATTTCAAGAAGAGAGTGAGAGAAGAGAATTGCCTGTTAACGTTGTTTTTTTAACATGTTCACTGTCTATTTCTATTATTTTAATTTTCGGTGTTATGTTATAAATGATTTTTTTTTGTATTTTAGAATGCTTATTAAGTTAATTAAATAACATTTAATCATGTAAAATAAAAATAATGGAGTAATTGAGAAGATAAATGAACAGAGATTCTCCGCAATGAACAAGCGGAACTGTGATCAAATGACAGGAGTTACAAATAGAGAAAGAGGGAGAGGACAAAATAAAAAATATGAATGTCACATCCTTGTGTTTGCGAATAACGGTGACACATTCACAATGGACTTCATGTATTAGCTGATATTGCCTAAATTTGTCCATTATATTTGTCCATTATATGTTTTCGAAAACAGGTATTGAAAGCGTATTTTTTTTAATTGGAAATGTACAGTTAGTACACAACGTATAGTAAGTAACGTGTATGCATATCCGATGACGTATTGAAGTGTTTTTTGCTAAATGTCGATATTAGTGTTTTCTTGATAATACCGGAAACTCATGTGGTAACACAGTGCCCCAAATACACGGGAAGACGCTAATAGGTGTGTTCCAAAAAGTTGATTGAAAACAAATTAGTAAAATAATTTTTGTATGTTGTTTAATTGTTAAGAGTATAATCAGAACCGTTTCTTTGTGGACGACGTTAGTTGAATTTTGCATCATAATATGGAAGTTTTTAGGGGTATTGTAAGAGAACTTTTTGTCTGCAGAATTATAGGTTCCATTTCGATTATAGGTTCTTATGGGTCTCCGACAGTTATCTAGAAGTCCCTGTGAGTCGCCCACAGTAGATTTGAGGTCCTTATGGGCAACCTAGAGTAGATTACAGGTCCTGATGCCATACCTACTGCAAATTGGAGGTTTCTACGGTCACTTACAGTAGATTATAGTTATCTACAGATCACATACAGTAGATATGAGGTCTCTAGGCGCCATTTAAAGTAGATTAGAGGCTCCTACGGGTCACCTACAGTAGATCAGAGGTCTCTACAGGTCGCTTACAGTAGATAGGGGTAATATAAAGTAAATTAGAGGTTCCTATGGGCCACCTACAGTAGGTTAGATGTTCCTACGGGTCACCTACAGTAGATAAGAGGTATCTACATGCCTCTTACAGTAGATTAGAGGTATCTACAGGTCACGTACAGTAGTTAAGATGTATCTGCAGGTCTCTTACAGTAGATTAGAGGTTCCTAGGGTCACCTACAATATATAAAAGGTTCCTATGGGTTACTTACTGCAGATTATTGGTGGCTATGGGTCATCTAAAGTAGATTAGATGTTCCTACGGGTCACCTACAGTAGTCTAGAGGTATCTACAGGTCACTTACCGTCGATTAGAGGTCTCTACAGGTCGCTTACATTAGATTAGAGATCTCTATAGGTCTCTTACACTACATTAGAGGTTCCTATGGGTCACCTACAGTGGATCAAAGGTTCCTACGGGTCATCTACAGTGGATTTTAATTTTAATTTCTTCGAGATTTCAGAATCTCTCCCTTTCAAAAATACTAGAAAGAGCAGATTTTTCATTTATGAATATTTTTTGTTTATTGTATAATATACACACATATTTTTTGTTTTGTTTTAATATATAAATACTAACCTAAATTGCTTTATTTCAAAATAATAAAAAAAATTAACTAAAAAATTAAAAAAAAAACTGAGAAAATTAAAAATAGGGGTTTTACGCTAAAATTAAGTCTCCAGCAAAAAAATAATAAAATGAGAAATAGAATATTTACAACATAGGATGTTTGGGGGATACACATTTGAATTAATAGTATGTATGTGGAAAAAAAACATTTCAAAACAAACTAGAGTTTCTTCCAAAAATATATCAACCCATCCCGAGAAATAGTTTTTTGTTTTTTTTTTTCTTAATTTCTATTTTCTTGTGAAGGAAGCCTACTTTTGCGTAATACTACTCCGAATCATATCATCTATTTATCCCTTTTTAAAATCTAAAATATCATCAATGGCTGCCAATTTACCGGCATCGCTATCATCCTTTTCCAATTCGGCCCGTGTGCAACGACCACAACACGCTGCCGATGGTTTATTTTCACATTCACCCAAGGCGGGAGGTTTAAAATTGGGGGTCCATGGCCCCAGACTACCACTGGCATAGAAATCCATGGGATAGGCATCCTCCTTGGGTGCCTTATTGTGTGGCGTATATTCAACATCACCCAATACCACAGAGAGTTCATAGGGATTTAGAAGGGGCTTACTGAAAGCCGAACCCCAATCAATGGATAGGCGAGGGCAGGCAATTTGTACAAATGCATCAATGTCATCGAATAGGGCTAACTTCTGGGGGAATATTTCCGAGAGTAATATGGTGGTGGTATCAAAACCTTTGGCTCTTAGGCGTTTCTCTAGGAATTTGTGTACGCGGCTGCTGCCCTGGCGGCCCAGTGTTCCCAATATTATACCGATTTTCTTGGCATTTTTGGCTTTTTCAATTTCTCCATAGCGCATCGATTGCATGGTCGAATGGTCATATTCCTCGATTGTGAATTTCTTTTCATATGGATCATATTTGTAGGCCTAGAAAAAGAAAAGAGACGGATTAGTAACTTTCCAAAATTTTAAAAGTTCCCCAAAAAACTCACCTTCACTTTGGGATTTGCAATCATGGCCGATTCCAAATGAAACCGACCATCCCCCAGATAGATAATCAATTTTGTGGTCTCCGGCAGTGTGGGTGAGGTACAACCCAATATTTCTCCAGGACTCAGGGGTTTGGCTTGTGGCACAATCACATCATATCCCGCCGCTTTTAGCTCACCCGAGGCCGCCTGCAAAGTGGTTACAAATTGTATGGTACTAACCAGGGCAATCTGGCCATCTTCGGGTTTAAAATTCAACTTCACTGAATCCAAAAAATGCAACGGATCGATTTTGATATCCACAAATACATACAACACCTTAATGCCCTCGGTCTGATCGACGGGTATAAGACAACTATGACCATAATGGACCAATAATTCCGCACCCAATGCCTTGGCTGTGTAGTCATCAACACAACAGGCGCCATAGGTGACATCACCCATAATAACAGTATCGGCATCCGTAAAACGTTCGATAATATCGCTAATGACCATGGCATACATCAGTAAACCTTCAGGTAGCTGGAGGGCCACCCGCTTCGCTTTCATCTCTTTGATACGCCATATTGTTTTATGGATTTCAAAATTATAATTGGCCGGTAGCCGATCGATGGCCTTTTGCAGCACGGGATCATCGAGAAGCGATTGTGGAATGCGATTCAGACGGGCCTTAGGTTTGAATACCTTTTTTGGTTTGGCACGAACCACCACCACATCGGTACTGGTGGGCAATGTTTCACTGGAATTCGAGGAGGATAAAGTTTGCGGTGTGGCGCTACTGATATCAGCAGCTGTCGGTTGGACAATGTCCAACATTTTGAATGCGTTTGGAAAACTGGAAATTTTCGAAAAAACAATAATTAGTAAAATGTTAATTTTGTTTTGGGGCAATTAAAAAAAATTAAATTCCGAAGTGGGTAATAAAAACCGGTTTTTGCTCATGGAGGACGGACGTCAGTTGAATTGTGCGTCATAAGGTGAGATTTTTTTTTGGGGATCATCAGAAAGATTTATGAATGGTAAATTTTGTGTTTGTAGAATATATTAAAGGTGCCTATAGGACACCTGCAGTAAATTAGAGGTCACCTAAAGTTGATTCGAGGTCCTTATAGGTTAGCTAAAGTATATTAGCGGTCCCTATAGGACACCGACACTATGTTAGAGATCCGAATGATTCACCTAAAGTAGATCAGAGGTCCCTATGTGTCACCTGAAGTAGATTAAATGTCTCCTAAAGTAGATTAGAGGTCATCTAAAGTAGAATAGAGGTCAGTATAGGTCCCCTAAAGTAGATTGGAGGCCCTATACGTCACTTACAGTGAGTTAGAGGTCTCTACGTGTCAAGTGAAGTAGATTAGAGGCTCCTATGGGACACATGCAATAAATTAGAGGTCACCTTAAGTAGATTAGGGGTTGCTATCAGGGATGGTCCGTGTGACGAATTTTTAGTTTTTCGACTGTCAAAAAGGTGTAAACGTTGAAAACGTCATATACCTGTATAAAATGTAATAAACGTAGTAAACGTCATTTATATCAATATTATCAGCATACACAGTTATTTTCAAGAATATATATTATTTTTACATATATCTGACTATTCCTTACTAGAACTGATAAAAAATGTTTAAATTTTTCGAGAAGAAAATTTTGAAATTTTATATGGATTTGAGTAAAGCATGCGTAATTTCCAAATTGATTAATGGAAATAGCTAATTTGTCAAAAACGTAATGGATTTGGGTAGGTTTCCGACGTTTCTGACGTATGTATTATACGTCGGAAATGTATGTCATTTACGTCACTGTTTCTGACAGGCCATCTCTGGTTGCTATAGGTCACCTAAAATAAATTAGAGGTTCCTATAGCTCACATACGGTCCCAAAAGGTCACTTGATGTAGATTAGAGGTCTCTACAGGTCACTTACAGTAAGTAAGAGGTATCTTGGGGTCATTTACAGTAGATTAGAGGTTTCTTCGGCTGACTTACAGTAGATTAGAGGTTTCTTTGAGTCGCCTAAAGTAGGCCAAAGGTGTCTAGAGGTCTCCACAGGTCACTTACAGTTATTTAGAAGATCCTATGGGTAGACTAAAGTAGTTTAGAGTGGAGTAGAGGTTCTTTTGATTCAAATACAGCAGATTATAGGTCCCTATGGGTGACGTAAAGTAGATTAGAGATTCCTATGGGTCACCAACAGTGGAGTGAAGGTTTCTATGATTCACATACAGTATATTTAAGGTCCCCATGGGTCATTTGCAGTGAAATGTAAGTTTCGAGAGTTCACATACTGTATATTTGAGTTTCCTATGGGTCACCAACAGTAGATAAGAGATATCTATAGGTTATCTACAGTAAAGTAGAGGTTACTAGGGGTCGCCAACAGTATATAAGATAAAGATAAGATTAGAGATATCTACATTAAATTAGAAGTCCCTGTGGGTCGCCTACAGTAAATTAGAGATCCCTTGAGGGATTAGAAGTACCTTTGGGTCACCTACTTTTAAATAGTCGACCCTATTGGCCATCTACAGTCGAACAGATGTTCTTAGGCGTAATATACTATAGACTAGATGACCCTTACAGGTCCCTTTAGGTTATCTACTGCAACTAGATGCACCTTTGAGTCATCTTTTACCATAGAGTAGAAGTCGTTTACAGTCCAGCAAATGGTCCAATGGTTCATCTACTATAGATTTGATGGTTGTAGAGCATCTACAATAAATTATATGATTCTATTGGTCATCTACTGTCGATCAGATATGCCTATGGACCACATCCTACAGAGTAGATATTCATATAGATCATCTATAATGGAGTAAAGTGTAAAATAGGCAATCTACAATGGAGTAGATGGTCCCATTGCTCATCTACTATATAGTTGATGGTTGTATTGGTAATTTATCACAGAGTAAATGGGACTATAGATTATCTATCTAAAAATATATGATCCTATTGGACATCTACTGTCCACCAGAAATATTCCTTCGAATCATTTTCGTCATTGAATATGCTTTCCCCGATCATCACATATTAATTAGACGATCTTCAGGTCCAGTAGATGGAACCTCTATCTTTATCTACATGAGAATAAATATCCTGATCCAATCATTTTGTTATAAAAAATTCTATTATGAAACAGATCAAGTAAATATTGTGTTTTTTGTCTAGTTTATTGAACTTGTCTCTCATTATCTGGTCTAACAAAGAAACCAAAATCAAAACACTATAAAAAACAAGAGCACCTTGAATTTATGTTAAAAAATGAAAACAAAATTGACTGACTCACCTTTTTTGTTTGGTTTTTGTTTATGTGGATTTGATTTCACTACTCTCTGGCTGAGTTGGTGGGGCTGTTGCTAGCGGTCAGCAACAACAACAATAAAAACAAATAAAAAATTGACCAAAATAATCACAAGATGCAGCAGCAGCAATAAAATTTAAATATATTCCGTATAAACCGATTTTGTAACGAGGAAAACGATTGGCAGCAGGTTGTTTGTAAGGTTAAATTTTGTCCTCAACGGTCACGGAACAAATTGAGAAAAATGCGTTTTTTTTTTTCAAATATTCACAGCACTCCGAATTTTTTATAATTTTTTTAATCACTTCGATGTCTGAAATATTTTTTTGTTTAATATATTTGTCTCCGGCTCTTTTTTTCTTGCGTTGTCGTTACTTTGAACTTCTAATTGTAAATGACTGAATGATGAAAGGAGGTACTCTCAAACAATAACACAAATCAGTCAGTCTGCAGTAGAACAGCACATCAAACATCCACCCAAACAAACATTCGCTTTATGCTACTGCTTTGTTGTTTTTGTTGCTGCTGGATTGTATGTGGCGCATATGGTGGTTGAGCACCATTAACAATATCAAGAAAGTCACGTAGGCCAAATTTAAAGCAAACTGCAGCAAGTTATGCTCAGTTATGTTTACTTTTCAATGAAAATTTTATATTTTTTAATTAAATTTTTTATAATTTATCACTTGCAATCGATTGCTTTTATTCTAACTTAACCACTCCGTGCGAAATTATCTAATGTCATACTATTATTAACGCGTTTTTTATGCAATAACAAATTTTTGGAAAAAACAAAACGTGCACGTTGGGAGATTAGGGATGCACAGATCGACTTTTGGTTTGATAGGGTAAAGGAGTTCGTTTGTGGGTTTAGCATTGAGGGGATCTATAATTCAAGCAGTTTTTAATGTAAAAAGGGGGTCGGTTGTAAATTTTTGAAATTTGAATTGAATTTTGCTGTATCAAATCCGTTAATAATTGAATTGAATATTTCTAAAAATTTAAATTTGCCCTTAACTATTCATTTGCACTACAATTGCTGTATTCAATATAACGATTCACTGAAGGGAATCAAGGGAACCTATTTAATTAATATTTTGTTTTCAGCTTGCTTTTATAATGACATTTCAATAAAATATTATTTTCTTTTCATAAATGTCAAACTAAAGGCATATTTTCAAATAAATCACATTAAAATTTTAAAATCTGAATTAAATCTCACTGGAATATTATTTTTATTTTAATAACTATGCATTTGCACTACAGTTGTGACTGTTATATTCAATGTAACGATTCACTGAATGGAAACCGAGGAACCGAGTTGCTTTCACTTTAAGGAATGTGTTATTGAAATTGTATTTAATAAAAAATGTCAAATAAACGAATATTAAATTAATTTTATTGTTTCAGCAAAAATACATTTGTTTGATCCGTACCTTACTGGTTTCATTAATAAAAATTCAAGGATACTAGTCAAATGTCAAGCATTTCATGCAGTACTGTAACATAATTTGCCACTTGCCATGCGCCTTCATTAAAGTCGTAACGGAAATGTCATTTAAAGCAACAGCTGATCGCTCTTTTAACGGTTTCTGCTCTTTGCTTTAAATGCTTTAATTTTAAAGTAAAAAAAGCGCTTCAAATTTTCCAAAATGGATAAAATAATGAATTCCAAGGACAAAACAACTCCACTGACTACGAAAAAACTCTATCAGTTACATCCTGAAATGGAAAACATTCTAATTGTCGCTATGGTCGTGGGTAAAACTGAACCAAATATATTTCTATCGAGGAATGATACTCAGCATAAGGGAGTCATGACATTCACCTTGCGCGATACCTCTCAACACATTGTCAATTGTAAATTCTGGGGTACACGGGAAAAAGTGGCACAGCTGAATGAACATATACAAATGGGTGACATTGTGGATATTGTTTGCCCGAAAATATCGATGTTAAGTCAAAAGGCAGAGGCCTTAGAATCGAAACAGGCTCAATATCAACCGGTTAGTTCATTGCCAATAACATTGGTGGTCAACGAGGGCCAGGGATTGATTGAGAAACATAGTTATCATGATTTGGATAAATATACGGAGATAAGATTGCTGTCGCATCAATCCCATAAACCCTTGTATTCCGTTATGAATTTGGCTGATGTCCAGGCGACATTTAGTGATTCCAAAGCACAGGCATTTCATACGGATTTTTTGGTTGTTGTGGGATTGCTACGTCGGCCGCGTGATGTAAATGCCAGCAAGGAGGGCAGACAACGTCGTTGTCTGGAAATTGTGGTATTTGATCAAAGTCTAACCAGTGGTATGACCTTTACCATATGGCATTCGGATTGGATCGATCGTGCCGAAGCCTCATGGCAGCCAATGAAAACGGTGCTACATCTAATTGATGTAAAGGTTTCGTATTCCAATTTTTATAAGGGTTGCATTTTGAGCTTCACCTCGAAGAGTATTATCTATGAAAACCCGGTGGGCACGGAGACGCAGCACTTGAAAACATTTGCTGCAACCTTGCCGAAGACGCCTTTCGATATGGCCATGCAGGCAAGTAATACCGATGCATTGCCAAAGGGTATGTCCATGGGAATAGATTTTTGAGAATATTTTAAATTTGGTTTTCTTTGTCTAGCTGATGATATCCAAACCGTAATGACGGTGAGGCAAATTTATGCCCGAGCCGAGGGTCATTTGAGGGATACCAGTGAACAATTTACCGCCAAGGTATATGCAATGGTGACTCACTTTGATATCGATTGGCCGGAACATGTTTTGAGTAAGAAGTGGTAGGTGAAATATTTTTTATTTTTATAAAAGACCTTTTGTCTCTATACAGCCCAGCTGGCTTAAATAAAGACCTTCGGCCACTATACAGTCCGGCTTGCCTTAGTAGAGACCTGTCGTCTCTATACAGCCCAGCCAGCTGGCCTTAGTACAGACCTGTGGTCTCTATACAGCCCAGCCAGCTGGCCTTAGTGGAGACCTTGGATCTCTATACAGCCCAGCTGGCCTTAGTAGAGACCATTGGTCCTTTTCCTTATTGGATTTATTTTTCTAATCCCTCTTCCTCCTTTCTCTTCCAGCAAATCCTGCAACCGTTATATCGCTGCCCGCAAAGATCTCTGCGACAATGATCAGTGCCAGCTGGCATTTTCATTTGGCTATAGTGGGGATAAATACGATTACTTTTTTAATATAAATCTCCAACTGACCGATCATACAGGAACCTTGGTCGAAGCTCGTCTAACCGATACCACTGCCATGCAGATTTTATCCTTCAATTGTGATCAGTATCTCAAACTGAATCAACAAGAATTGGAACAATTGAAATGGCGTTTCCTTCTCAATCATGTCGAAGCAAAGTTACTAATCAAAAAATCGAATATGCTGAGGCGTAAAATGTTGGCCCTGATAATCGATTTGAAACCAATCGAATTGGAACAATTAACCGAAAATATAGCTGTATTTTGAGAAAATAATAAAACAACGAACGAATTCAGTTAATTTCTTTAACTAACATCCTCATCGATATCACTGGGCCTTGGTGTATTGGAGATTTTTTCAATACTCGGTACGGTATGTTCCACTTCAAAATCTGTTACCTCCATAATGCATTCCCGCAACTGACGTTTTCTATCTACTTTTAGTACATAATCTTGAAAGCTATTAAGGACATTACGAAATTCTTCATCGGATGTTATCAGGCGTAGAAATTCATCGGGATTATCGGGATCCAAGGGTTCCATGGTAGTTTGTTGTTGCATTTCAAGTAAAGTTTTCCGTTCCAAATCGGCTGCGGTGAGGCGATGTCTTAATTTGATTTCTTCGACGCGACCCTCGAGCAGTTTACAGCGTAATTGTTCACGTTCGAACATCTGGATGGGAAAAGAAATACTAGCATAATAAGTATATACATACATAGAGGTCCCAGGGGGCCTCAGAAATTTTTTTTTAAAAACATAGATGTCTCCGGAGGCATCAGAAATGTTTCTATAAAAATTTAGAGGCCTCTGAAGGCCTCAGATAATTTTCTATGAAAATTTAGAGGCCAATGGAGGTCTCAGGGGGCCTCAGAAAATGTTTTTATGAAAACATAGAGGTCTCCGGAGGCATCGGAAATTTGTCTATGAAAATTTAGAGGTCTCTGAAGGCCTCAGACAATTTTCTATAAACATTTAGAGGCCCCTGGAGGCCTCAGAACCTGTTCTATGAAAATTTAGTGGCCCCTGGAGGCCTCAGAAACTGTTCGATAAAAATTTAGAGGCCTCTGGAGGTCTCAGAAATTTGTTTATGAAAATTTATAGGCTTCTGGAGGGCTCAGAAATGTTTTATAAACATTTAGAGGCCTCAGAAAACGATTAGAGGTCTCAGAAAATATCCTAAAAATAGTCCTTCAGAAAAATTCTTTAAAAATACTCACCGCCACCATCAGAGCCTTATCCTTGCTGGTACTATGTTTCATGGCCTTATCCATTTCCAAAATTTGTATATCACCATTACCCAAACCCACAGCCAGAAATTCGCCATCGGAACGGAATCGTACACTCAACACCCTCGAGGAAAAATTCACATTAAATATAGGCAGCCTTTGACTCAGCAACATATCCCAGAAATCCAATTCCCCTTCGATATCCCCAGTAACAAACAAAGAACATCGAGCCGTACTCCAGCTGCCGCATAAAATCTGATTGCGCTTCTTCACCAAAAATGTCAGCGGTGACCCTTTGCATTCCTCAGCCCAAATCTTGGCACACCAATCTCCTGTGATTAGGAAATTCTTCACAAAAAATGGATTCCTTTCCACGCTTCGTATGGGTCCATGGAATAAACGATAATTCCCCGCAGCCAGGGTTTCCATCGGTGTCATACCCTTACGATTGCCAATGAAAATGCTGCCCATATCGCTGGCCACAATGAAGCGGATCGGTATGGTATATTCAAATTCCATTACTGTGACACCATGCGATCGCGACCTGACTTGGTCATCAGTCATTTCCGGGTCCATAAGTAATTCTTGCAGGGGATTATCCAAATTTCGACCATCCCAATATTTCACCGAACCATCATAGGAGCCGGTATAGAATTCGGTATTGGTTTTGGAGTGAACCCAGCATAGGGCTGCCACCGGTTCACGGTGAGCAGCTTCCAAGGGACATATGCTGACCGGCTGGCCCCCCATTTTCGAATTCCAAAGGCATATTTTACCCGATTGCAAGCCTCCAGCAATCCAATTTTCATCTTTGGGACAATAGAGGCTCTTCAATACCTTATCATCGGAATTAAAGGTGATCATGGGTTTCAGAGGATTCTCCAGGTTCCAGATGTAAAAATCATTGGTGTTCAACACCGGTTCCTGCTTAACCAGGGGGGTTATTAAAGTTATTTTCTTTTTCTCCTCCTTGCGAACCAGCTCCTTTTTATTAGCCTCCTCTCCTGGCAGGGGTCTCTCCAAGGGTATATTTGTATGTAAGACCAAAAAACGCCTCACATCATTTGGCGTCCAATCGAGCACCGAAACCGGACGCCGTATTATTTCTGGATCATGGAAAATATTTTTTTGCCTTGACTCAAAGGCGGATTTGATATCCTCTCCACCACCGCCACCCGATTCGGTGGTCAAATCCACAAAAAAATCCTGATAAATATTCATCGTGGTATTCTTTTCGGCCACATCGACGGCATGGTGTATCAAACCGATCACCTGACCACCCCAATTATCATCACGTTCGATTTTTTTACGATGCCTCAGGGTGGACTCTTCATCTTTGATGTTGACCTCCTTGGGCCAGCCTCCCTCATAATGATACATACCATGTTCGGCAAGGGTAACATTTTCCGTTTCCATTATGGTATAGGCCAGCTGGCGACCCAGCTGGGTGGCCTGGTGTACCGGATTGCGTAATACGAACTGACATCTCTGCCTTTTGCTGGGATTAATGCTCAGCATTAATTGGTTGCGATCACTGAACAGACATTGGCGCCCAAAGCGGCGTCGTTCGCGGGTATAGCCGAATTGATTGGCGGAATGCATTTTTTTGGGAAGGAGGAGGAGGAAAAGAAATTATTTTTTTATTTTTAAATTATGAAGGAATTTTTTTTGTGAAAATTTGAAAATTATTTTGACAGCGAAACAAAATGGAATGGAACACAAAAACGATAATAGGCTTGGATTTTGTAAAAATTTTTTCGAAGGACTAAAAGGCCAATAGGTGGGGATTTTTTAAAGAATTTTTTCGAAGGACTAGGTGGGACAATAGGTGGGATTTTTTAAAGAATTTTTTTCAGAAGGACTATTAGGACAATTGGCGTGGATTTTTTTCGAAGGTCTAAAACGACAATAATTTTTTTTTTTAAGAACCTCTAAGACCTCGGCAGGACACTATATTTTTTTAGAAAAATTTCTGAGACCTCCGAAGACCTCTTTATTTAAAAAAAAACTGACCTCTTATGCTTTAAAGAAAACTTTCTGAAGCACCCGGAAGCAGAGATATTTTAACAGAACAATTTCTGAGGCCTCCGGAGGTCTCTATATTTTGAAAATAGACAAATCTGAAGCATCTGGAGGTCTCTTTATTTTTTAATGACTCCTCAATATTTTTATAGAAAAAAATTTGAGACCTCCGGAGGCCTCTATATTTTTTAAGAAAACTTTATATACTTTATATTTTTATAGAATTTTTTCTGAATAATTTCTGAGGCCTCTATATTTTTAAAGAAACATTTCTGATGCATCCGGAGTTCTCTAAATTTTAACAGGAAAATTTCTGAGGCTTCCGGAGGCCTCGATATTTTTTAAGAAAACTTTCTGAAGTGTTCGGAGGCTATTGGACGCCTCAATATTTTTATAGAAACATTTCTGAGGCCTCCGGATGCCTATATATTTTTAAAGACAACTTTCTGAAGCATCCGGAGGCCTCGATATTTTAATTGAAAATTTTCTGAGGCCTCCGGAAATTTTTCTGAAACATCCGGAGGCCTCTATTTTTTATAGAAAATTTCTGAAACCTGTGGAGGTCTACAGATGTTTGTTGTAAAATTTGTTAGGCCTCCGGAGGCCTCTATATTTTTAAAGAGAAGTATCCGGAGGGCTCTTCATATTTTATTTACATTTTCTGAAGCATCCGAAGGCCTCAATATTTTAAAGGGATTTTTCTGAAGCATCCAAAATAGAAACTTGGTTAAATGAGTATTTTTGGAATTGTTGCAATTTCTCCCACTATGTTTGATTTTAGAGAGTTCCCATCAATGAAAGAAATGTTCTACACAAAACTCCAGTATGGATCACCGAACAAATCGAATCCGTAGGTGCACATTGCTATTGATAAAAATATCGATTTATTAGAGAATAAATACGTTTTCTTCAATATTTTTTATATTTTTGAATGTGTATCAATTTCTCCCACTGTGTTTGAGTTTAGAGGGTTGCTACCAATAAAAAAAATATTCTGCACAAAATTTCACTATGGGTCACCGAACAAGCGGACTTCGTAGATGTCATATTACTACTAAAAAATACCGTTATAAATGAGGTTTTCAAAATAGAAACTTGGTTTAATGAGTATTTTTTAGGATTGTGGCAATTTTACCCACTGTATTTGATTTTAGCGGGTTGCTACCAATGAAAAAAATATTCTGCACAAAATTTCACTATGGGTCACCGAACAACAGAAATCAATATTCCTATTCATATATCGAAAAAATATCGATTTAAATTTTGGTTTAAAAATACATTTTGATTTTTTTTTTAATATTTCCAATTTTAGCCATTTCTCCCACTGTACTTTTTTTTTTTTTTTTTTTAGTAGTAGTACTTCTTTATTGATTAAATATGTTTACAATTCATTTCACAAAATATATTTACCGTAAATTATAAAGAAGTTGTATATGTTTGTGACAATGTTAAATAAAACGTCTGTCACTCAATATAAAAATATAATTTAATTGAATTCATTTAATAAAAAGAGGCGATATTTATAGCTTTTTTCCAAGTAATTTGTTAAGTTATCCCAGTCGGCATCATCTTCACCATCCAATATTTTAATTATTTCCGTTTCATCCAATATTGGTTTTTGGAAAGATATTATTCTGAATTCTCGAAGAACGGGGCAAGTTCCTAAGAAATGTTGCAGTGTTTCAATCGCATGTAAATTACATAGTTTACATACTTTTGATGTCGATTCTGAATGAAATGTGTTATATGCGAGAGGGATCATTCCGCTGCGAGCTTTGAATATCCAACGTATTTGTTCGTGTGTGTATTTTTCATTTAAGTAGTGTTGGGCTCTGTCCGGGTTCAAATGTTTATATATTCGGAGACTTTGACTGCTTTGTTTTCTATATAACCTTTCCTCCTTCAATCGTGTTTTTATGTTGCTCATTAAACTTGTACAGAAAATATTCCAATTATCTGGGGACGACATCATATGTGACCATGGTATGTTAAACTGTTGAGCCAATTCATTCAATTCTTT